AATGATTTATGCTATAATTTCAATTTATATTGTACTCTTAGGATGGTTTTTCGAATTTGAAATAAATTAATTTTATAACTGAAGATTTATTCGCATGAATTACAAGGATATCACATTATATCAACTTATCAATCTCTCTTAATAAGCTAAAGGATAGATTTAATTGCTTATAATCTTATATTATAACAATTTATCTCAGCAATTAACTATTGTTTTGATAAAATTCACAATCATTAAATCAAAAAAAAAGAAAAATCATTCCATTTCTTGGTTTCTACGATAATTCAGTGAACTGATAAAGTAATAAATTAATGAATAAACTGATAAGGCAATCAATTAGCGAATGACTTGATGAGGCAATAAATCAATGAATACTATAGTTAATTTAAATTAAAATTTGTTTATATTTATTAGTTTAAATTAAGTTATGCTATTTTTAAAACAAATTAATAATATTCGAATAAAATAACAACCCATATAAACTTATTAAAATTCAAAGAAAAAACTGAAATAAATAAGAATTAGATTAATCTAAGTTAAAATTTTTGCAAATATATTTGCTTTCAGTTTATTTGATTCAAAATCTATTTCAATTATTCCAGTTTACGATTACTTAATAACATAAAGTAAGTAAAGGTGCAATACCGTATTGTTACTATATAGTCGTACCAATAATCTTTAATTTTGGTTACAAAAGCGATCATTCCGGATTTAAGCATTAATTCATTTTACATCTTATATCTTGTTAATGTTATCTGAAGGTGATGTATTAAAGGTGAGGTGCCAAAAGGTAAGCTAGAAAGAAGATTATAAGTTGATTTAAATGTCCATACGATGTGTATGTGTGTGTATGTGTATGTGTGTGTGTCTGTGTTATGTGTCTGTCTCTGTGTGTGTGTGTGTGGTATTTGTATTTGTAAGTAAATTAATTTTTTGTAAATTAATTTGAAAATTTTATTTTGCAATTAATAAGCGAATTGCTTGTTACAAGAAAATTATCTCTAAAAATTGAAGTCGGAAATGTAAATTTGAATAAAATAAAATCCATTAAACATTGGTGATTATAGGAAATGAAAATATTATCCATGAAACAGAAGTACTTTTTTTTTGATACCTGTATATCAGTGATATCAATTGCAACCTAACTGATAACTGATAGTTCAATGATATCTCTCTTCAATGTGTTGATAGTTCAATGATATCCCTCTTCAGTGTGAAGATATTTTTAACTTTAACTAACTAAGAAATATCAGCAAAACAGTATTTTTGACAAATCCTAAACGATAAATTTTTATATGTTTAAAATATCGAAGTGAAATTAAAATTTAAAAGAAATGATGAAAATAAAATAAAAATTTTTCAAATTGATTTAATTATGCTTTTCATCAATTTGTTAGCTTTACTTGTAACTCTTTCCATTTTGTAAACAAAAATTACTTAAAGTTATTGGTGATTGATCATAGATCAACTCTTCATTGATCATTTTTTTTCTTCTTCATTACAAAAGTTTCAATTTATCCTATACTTTTTTAGTAATCTTTTAAAATTTTAACGCTTAAAATCTCTGTTCTATCAAAAGATTATAAAAACTTTTTCCTTCAAAAGCAAACAACAAAAACATGTGGAATAATGATGACAACAACAGCAGTAGCAACAACAACAACAACAACAACAACAAAAACAATAACAACAACAACAAGCAAGAACAACAGCAGCAACAACAACAACAACAATAACAATAACAGCAACAGTAACGCAACAGCAGCAACAATACCAAAATAACAGCAACAACTATTACAGTAACACAACAGCAGCGACAGCAACAACAATAACAACAACAATAATGATAACAGTAACACAACAACAACAATAACAACAGGAGCAACAACAAGAATAACAACAATAGCAGTAACAACAACAGCAACAGCAATAACAATAACAAGAACAGTAACAGAAACAACAATAGCAATAACAACAACGACAGCACTAACAATAACAATAGCAGTTTACATTTCGTACATTTGAGCAGTTATATCATTCAAGTGTACTTCTAACTTCTCTTAAACAATGTTATCAGTGAATTTCTTTTAATTATTTGAAATTTTTTTTGTCTTTATCAAAAAAAAAAAAAATGTCCATATCAACTTTTTTCTTTTTTTTTGTTTTCAATTTGATTTCAAAAAAATAAAAAAATTTCTCTTAATTTCTATGTAAATTTGCCCCCAAAATTATTTCCATTAATGATGATAATTAAACAACACCTTTACCATACATTTTCCCATTTTGTCTAAATTCCGGTAGATCACCTGTTTGGATGACAGCTGATATGAAAATATACGATAAATGAAAACATCTGTCACATTTCCATTGTTTTAACATACTTCAACTATGTCAATTCAGTTAGCTTAAGTTTTCAGTAATATTTTCCCCTAAAAATTTTAAACATTTACTTGTTATCAGCGATTCAGCTAATATTAAATAAGTTAATGATAATTTTTTGAAAATAAAAATATTCTGGCAGATAATTTAAATTTTTGATTAGCTAGTGAAAAAAAGAATAAATATGAAATGACAGTTTGTAATTGTGATAGTAATTGCAAAAAACAATATCATAAGATATTGATACTGAAGTGATAACAATGATTGATAAGATATTTAGTAAAGTGTTAAGAAGTATTCGTTTATTTTTGTTTGAAATATTATGGTAAATATTTAAAGAATTGGATAAAAACTATTTGAAGCTACAACTATTGGCTAATACTTTTATTTGATACCTTAAAAGATAAGCTTTAAAGTGATAGATAGCATGTTATCATATTCTGATTTGTTATCTGCTGATCTCTATCATAAATTGTATCATTTCTTTTTCCTATCACTGGATATTATAAGTTTCACATATGAATATACAAACTGCTTACTTGCAGCTTCAATTAATCATCATCACAGTTATCACCATGCACCAGTTTATTATCAATTGATAATAAATATGATTACCTATTCAAAATATAGTCAAGTTCAAGTTATGTTTTTTGGAACAAAGGAGTTAACTTTTTAAAAGATTTAATGATATTATTTTTAATATTTCCATCCTATAAATGTTATCAATCCAAAATGTATCACAACTAAATTAAATGATATTTAATAGTAAATACTTTTAGTGATAACATTATCATTTGAAGATTTTTCTGAACAAATTTTAGGATAATATTCAATAAATCAGAAAGTTTAGTGATATGTTAGATAAATTAATCAAAAATTAGTTCTTCCAATTTCCATATTTGTTTACCTTGAAGTTTTGTGTCATAAATTATGGCAGGTATTAGATATGATGAACTTTTATCTTTTCTTATTTTCTTCTCAATTCATATCTATCTATCTTTTCTTTCTGAGAGTTTCGTTTAATTGCGGCAAATGATAAAGTTTAACTTATCAGGATAAATTAATTAAAAAAGTATTGAATGAATTATTTCATTGAGTTACGCATACTTTTGTCAACGAATTCAATTCATTCTTTTGTTGACATTTAATTTAATTTAAACATTTCATGTATTCATAAAAAGTCATCTTTAAAAGTTACTACAAAAATATCATCAGAATAGCATTTCAAAGGCCTAACTATTTTTAAAGCATGTAATGATTCAAAAAAAGAACCCAAAAAAAAATTTATTCATTTTTCTACCATTTTTAAATTCGTTGATTACAAAAAAAAAAAATTATCAGTGAAAAATTTAATTACACATTTTTTTTTGTTATATCATTATTTTCGTAATTTTTTAAAGTGAAAAGGAACGAAAAAAAAAGAAACAAGAACTTTTAAATTATTTGATACTAATTAATGTATTAATTAACATAATTAATTGATATCTAAAAATGAGATGAAATTAAATTTTGCATGTAATTGTAAATTTTGCATGCATAAAATGAATTTTTGTAATGTTGTAAGATTTGCATAGAGAATACCGATATGATTGACAAGGTGGAGCTTAACGACCGGTTAATTGCTCCCTCATCAGTTGATATATTTTACCATCGCAACAGAAAGAAATTCTTCTGTCCCATTCCTTCTAGTCGATTCACTGTTCCACTCTTTAATTGTCACATTATCTCATCTATTTCCCTTTTATGATGACGACATTTTGGCTCCAAATTTCATTCGTTATAAAATTGTTTACATTTTCATTACGTATTGAACATATTGTCGTATTTATAAAATATTTTGTAAATTTTTTTTTTAGCAAATATTTTTTTTTAATTTTTAACTTTAAATTTTATGGTTTAATTGTTTTTTTTTTTGTTTTAGATTCATTGGAAGTTCAAAATAAGTACGACATAAGCGACACTTTTTGTTTTCATCGTTATTTTTTTCCACTGCAATTTTTATCTATTTGTAAGTTAGGAAGTTATAAGTAAATAAATATTCAATTACTGATACAATCAAAATTCCATTACTAAATTTTAATTATTAGTAAAGAATTTTCATTGCCAAAGTAATAATGTATTAAAGGATGAAAATTCAGGTTAAGTTAATCATTTAGTGGAATTTCATCATCATCGATTACGTCAGAGCAATTAATTAAGGTCATTGAACGAACGTAAATTGTTATGTGAGGTGGAAAATTGACGACAATTGTGATGTATAAGTAGGTTAAACTTATTGTTGCTTCATTTATCACTTTTATTTCTTCCCTTATTCCTTATTATATTATTTGCATGAATTACTGAAATTTTCACCTGATCAATTTATTTCTGAAAATTTACTATCGTTATCCATAATAAGGTATATAACAGTAA